GTGGGGCCTCCCCAGTAGCACAGCGGTCCAGCGCTGGGCTACAAAGCTGCCTGCAGCCTCCGCAGCGCCGGTTCAATTCCCGGCAGCCGGGTCAGGGTCTCACATGGCGCGCAGACCTCTCCTGCCGCCCGCTGCTCCCCTCAGCAGTGTACTTCGGTCCCTCTGCCTGTTCTGCTCCCCACTCTGGCTCTGGTGAATTCTCTCACCATCCCGTGCTTCTGACTGTACCCAGTGCTTGTATAAATAAATAAATAAATAAATAAATCTTTAAAAATAAATAAAAAATAAAACCTTAGGTTTTAGGGGAAAAAAAATATATATATATGGTGGGGACCCACAACTCCCTCATAAGCTGCACTGTTAGCAGAACAAAAAGGACAAAAAAAGACGTTCATGCTGGGATAAAGAGGTAATAAAGATGCTTGGATAAGAAAAAAACGCATGCTCCAAGTTCATAAGACTATCCCTCCAGTGAAGGCAAAACGAAAGCAGTTCAACATTTGGTAAGAATCCAGTCGTGAGTTTGCCACAAGGACTTCTAGCAGAGGACAGGCTAGCACTTGCCAGGAGCATAGGGATTAGGAGTGGGGGGCCCCTAAACCCTCGGGGCCACGGGGCAATTAAGTCCTAAGGCCAGAGCAGCTACAGATTAAAAAGTGCAAATCATTTTTATTTAAAGATGGTGAAAAAACATTTTCATTAAAATATATATTAAATATTAAAAAAAGAAAGGATAAAGTCAACAGTAAATGTTCACTGCTAAATATGGATAAATGGCACATGGGAGTTCTTTGTATATTCTTGGCACTATCTGTAAATTTGAATAAAGCCTTATCTTTTAGAAATACATACTGAAATATTCACAGATAAAATGTTAAGACTTCTGTATCTTCAGTTCTCAGATTACCTTTGGATCCAGCTGAACAAATCTTTTGCTGAAACAGGGATCCTATATTGATTGGGCAAAATAGAGTTCTTTAACAAGTTTTGTGTAATTGGTCTACATTTTCAAGTAATGTCCTATAAAAAGGACTGGGGCTGTTAAGGCAATAAGAATTTATTTAGGGCCTTCCCTGGTGGCGCAGCGGTTAAGCGCTGGGCTGCGAGGCTGCCTGCAGCCTCTGCAGTGCCGGTTCGGTCCCCGGACACCAGCAAGGGTCCCCCCACACCCCACACACACACACAAAAGAATTTATTTAACTAAGCTGGGTCTGATTTTGTGATGAAGGGGGATGAGGAGCAAAAATGCTATCATCAGGAAATAAAGGTACTTTGTTCAAGGTGAAAAACAGAAATGTTAACACTTCTGTGACAAGTTTCAAAATAATGGGGCAGGGGCCTCCATGGTGGCCCAAGGGGTTAAGTGTCAGCACTATGAAGCTATTGGCAGCCACTGCAGCACAAATTCAATCCGTGACTAGGGAACTAACGATATGGCCCAGCAGACCTCCTCTGTCTCACCCACAGCTCCCCTCAGCAGTGTATTTCAGTAGATCCGCCTGTTCCCCACTCTGTCTCTGGTGAATCCTCTCACCACCCCACCAGGCCCTGCATCTCTGGCCTACACCCCAGCTCTTGTATGCATAAATAAATAAAGACCGGAGTAAATTTGTGTGTGTAGTAAAAAATATGTAACACAAAATGAGGTGATTTTTTTTTTCATTTCATTCTAAAGATGAGGAAAATACAGATGAGTGAGAAGTTCAGACATTTTCCCAAGGCAAGCAGTGAGTAGCAAACCAGAATTTGAACTAAGTCTCTCTAAAATGTCTGATTACCACCATTTAATCTGATTCTTAAATCTCTTAAAATTTGGTTTTTATAAGTCAATACCCAGAGCCTGATCAATTCTGAAAATACCGACTTATTGCATAAAAAAGCCTAAAATAGTACCAACATGCAGACATGCTAAAAACCTCCCTGAACAATCAGCAACCCCCTAACAATCTTCACACCTCACTACCTTTGCAGCAACAACTTTGGAAGCTAAATTAACTCCAAAAGTATATGAATATAAATGAGATGTTTGATCTTTCCTAAGCTTATACGTGTAAATAGTGAATAAAATGCAAATAATTTTGCCTACACTTGAATAACAATTTATTTATAGATTTTGGCTATAGCTAAAACAACTCATTATTCTGTATGTCATTTTTAAAAAGCATTATTTTGGTCTCACACACCAAAAACAAATATGAATGCCCCAAACCTATTAATTTGTAATCTTTAAAAATTACAGAACATGTACTTTCTGTACAAAAATAGAAATATATTGGGGCCTCCCCGGTGGTGCAGCTGGTTAAGTGCAGCGCTATGGGGCTGTCCACAGCCTCTGCAGCGTGGGTTCGATTCCAGGCCAGCCGGGGAGCAGTCCACATGGCGGAGCAGACCTCTCCTCACTCGCTCGCTGCTCCCCTCAGTGTCTTCGGCCCGTCTGCCTATTCTGCTCCCCGCTCTGTCTCTGATGAATCCTCTCACCCTCCCGCACCTCTGGCCTGTACCCCAGCTCTTGCATAAATAAAATAAATCTTTAAAAAAAAAATTGAAAAATACTATGAACTACAGGAGAAAATACAGAATGAATTTAACTTATTAGACATCCATCCATTGGTTAAACTAGTGACACAATGGGGAAAATAAGTCTCAAGAAGACACAGAACAAACCTGTGCACATAACGCCTCTTTTATCCCATTACCAAAAAACTTTAGGATGTCCAAGCCAGTGTTACATACAAATCCCAGTATCAAACTAAAATAAAAAAATTACACATACATACGGGCTTATTCTTGTTACATATTTTGCAGGACAAATGGCTTTAAAACAAGGTACTTATATTCAACATATACCATTTTAAATTTTAAATCACTTTCATTATTATTGCATTTGTCATTTAAAAAGAAGTACATAGGGCTTCCCTGGTGGCGCAAGGGGTTAAATACCGCACTATGAAGCAATCCGCAGCCTCTGCAGCACGAGTTTGATCCCCGGCCAGTCAGGGAGAAACCCGCAGGGCGCAGCAGACCTCTCCTGTCTCGCCCACTGCTCCCCTCGGCAGTGTATTTCAGTCTGCCTATTCTGTTCCCCACTCTGTCTCTGGTGAGTCCTCTTGTCCCCTGCATCTCTGGCCTGTACCCCAGCTCTTGTATGCATAAATAAATCAATCTTTTTAAAAAAATAAAAATAAAAAAGCGGTCCAGCCTCCCCTGGTGGCGCAGGTGATTGAGCGCAGCATTGTGAGGCTGTCCGCAGCCTCTGCAATGCAGGTTCAATCCGGGCCTACAGGGGAGAATCCCACATGGGGAGAATTCCACATGGCGCAGCAGACCTCTCCTGTCTCACTGCTGCTCCCCTTAACAGTGTATTTCAGTCAGTCTGCCTGTTCTATTCCCTGCTCTGTCTCTGGTGAATCCTCTCACCCTCCTGCACATCTGGCCTGTACCCTGGTTCTTGTATGCATCAATAAATAAATCTTTAAAAAAAATTAATTAAAAAAATAAATAAAAATAAAAAAGAAGTCAAGGGGGCTAAAATATGTTAAAGCTACCGACTGGGGGAAAAAATTAAAGATTAAACTATAAGACAAAGACAGATTAAGAAAATTTTTTAATTAAAAAAGATAAAACTGTGGGCCTCCCCGGTGGCGCAGCGGTAGAGCGCTGGGTTGCGAAGCTGCCCACAGCCTCTGCAGCGCCGGTTCGATCCCCGGCTGCTCCCAGGCCACCGGAGGAGGGTCCCGCATGGCGCGCAGACCTCTCCTGCCGCCCGCTGCTCCCCTCAGCGGTGTACTTCGGTCCTTCTGCCTGCTCTGCTCCCCGCTATGGCTCTCGTGAATTCTCTCACCCTCCCGCGCTTCTGACTGTACCTAGTGCTTGTATAAATAAATAAATAAATCTTTAAAAAAAATTAAAAAAAAAAAAAAGATAAAACTGGGCCTCCCTGGTGGCACAGCGGTTGAGCGCTGGGTTGCGAGACTGCCCGCAGCCTCTGCAGCGCCGGTTCAATCCCCGGCTGCTCCCAGGCCACTGGAGGAGGGTCCCACATGGCGCGCAGACCTCTCCTGCCGCCTGCTACTCCCCTCAGCAGTGTACTTCCGTCCTTCTGCCTGCTCTGCTCCCCGCTCTGGCTCTGGCGAATTCTCTCACCCTCCCACGCTTCCGACTGTACCCAGTGCTTGTATAAATAAATAAATAAATCTTTAAAAAAAAAAAAAAAAGATTAAACTACAAAAAAATGCTGAGAGTTGCTATCTACAGGAATTTTACATATCTAAATATCACTGTGCACTTCTTTATCTTGCAAACTTTTTATCTCATACTCACCCAATACTATAAATACCAAAAATATTTTAAAATGTAAATATTAGCCAGTCAGTTTTAGAAGGAAAAAGTCCTTCAAAAAAATACCAGTGAAGTATAAATTTCCTCATATCTTTACCCTCAAACCACCACTTGAAATGGGAGATGGCAAAGCACTGCCCTGTCTGCTAAATGTTCCACAAAGTCTTCTATTTTGACTAATTAATAAACATTAATTTATGTTTAATAAACATATACTAACCAAGCACCACCAATATTCAGATGGATAGTTTGCTTCCATCTAAACTAAGAGGAAGGGCCTCCCTGGTGGCAGAGCGGATTGAGCGCAGCGCTGTGAAGCTGATTCCCGGCCGGCCAGGGAGCTACCCACATGGCACGACAGACCTCTCCTGCCGCCCGGGGGCTCCCCTCAGCAGTGTATTTCAGTCAGTCTGCCTGTTCTGCTCCCCGCTCTGTCTCTGGTGAATCCTCTCACCCTCCCGCACCTCTGGCCTATACCCCAGCTCTTGTATAAAAATAAATAAATCTTTAAAAAATAAATAAATAAACTAAGAGGAAGACAAATGGGAAAGCAAAGAGCCAGACGTAAACAAAAAGTATTTTCCCTCCTTTTTCCTCCTGTAATGGCAAACAAATGACTTCAAACATTTTTTGTTAATCCAAGAAAAAGACAATTAACTTACTAGCATGCTTGTCTGCAAGCATTATAAGCGTGTTGGAAATATCTCGTCGTCTATAAAAGCACACTACTTTTGCTTCCACGTTGCCAGTTGCAGTCTAAGAAATAAGAAAAATAAAAGTCATCTGTACTGAATATTAGATTCAAAGAGTTTATAATACAAAGCTAGACACAGCCCAATTATAAGTACCCTCATTTACACTGTGCCCCAACAACTGCAGGATAATCACAGAGCTGAAAATTTCAAATAAAAATGAGCAACATTTGTTCAGGTTCCAAGTGAAACTGAAATGTCAAACATAGAATAACGCACTGGCATTAATTAAACCAAAGTGATGAGACCGCTTTAATGACTAAAGCCAGACATAGTTAAATCTAATTTGCCTTAAGAAACTAATTCCAAAATTTTTTTAAGCCACAACATAACTTATTTAAGACAGTTAAACAGAGCTGCTCTAAACCTACTCCAAGAAGAACAGGCTGAAAGTAAAGCCAGCCAGTCCTCTCCTAGACACCCACGCACACCCACGCACCCCACCGGCAGGGAAGCTCTGGAGGTGTGAGGCAGGTCTGAGTGTGCAGAAAGGACCAGAGGACTTGGCAAAGCATCCTCCAACCCAGGGGAGTCTATGAATCCATAAAAGTCAATGTTCTTAGTAGTATTCAGTCTACCTTCACATATGAAAGTATTAAAACCTTGAGTTATGAACAATGAAGCTCTTATTTCTTTTTTACTCCAGTCTAGAATACGATCAATTTTCAGTTAGCTTGTAATTTACTGCAGCTGGGGTCCTGGCTCCTACTCGCCTATACTTTCTGAAATTCTGAGCGCTTTCAAGGTCAATCATTTATTACAAAGTTCCTTATAAAAATACATAGATTGCAATAAAATGTTACTGTCATTTCCCATTTCAAACAAATTTGAGAACAAAATTTCAGAATTTCTCTGGACTTACAGATATATATATGTATTTTCAAACATAAAGAAATCAGAATATTTATATACGTGCTGTGGTAAATTTGTCAATTTTATGAAGTTCAGCGGCAGTATTTTATTTTTCCAGCAGCAGTATTTTAGAATGAAAAGCAGTCTTGAAGAAATATTGCCCCTTAAAATTGAAATCATATTAAATTCTAACCAAAGTACTTCTATATTTCACAATACTGTGATCAAATACATCCTCCAAAAGTAATGATCCAGCAATCTACTAAATGAACAGGCCAATATTTCCATGTAAATAAAATCTATCAATGACTTCAACTATAAACTCTTTATCATTTTCATCGTCTTATGACAAAAACATGTTAAAAATTCAAAGCAAGTTTCAAAGCATATTTTTTTTTTCTGCCTCATGAGTGAGTTCCTCCAACAGGGATACTCTAGAAAGCCAATTATATTCTTATTAAACCTGTTATGGTGAAAGGGCAGAATTCAAAATAAATACTCTCTTCTGGATCATGTACACACTTGGTCAGTGGTTAGTTTACAACTACAGTATTTCTCTTGCCTTTTATAACACACACACCCTCCACACACACCTTCTACAACACACACACACACACACACACACACATCTCTTCTTCCAGCATTTCTCAAAGCTGAATTACTCAAATCACAGTCTAAGTCTACAACAGTTACTAGAGTGAAATGAAGAGATTAAGTATATTTAATTTGAGAGTTAATTTTATATCTATTAAATCTAATAATAAAAAATAGAGGCTTTGTATTTTCAGAAGACTTACAAAATTTTTCTACTAATTTTTTTTTAATTTTATAAAAGTAGGGTCTTCCAAGTGGTGCAGTACTATCTATGAAGCTATCTATAGCCGCTGCAGCACAAGTTCAATCCACGGCCAGGCCAGGAAGATGACCCACATGGCGCAGCAGATCTCTCCTGTCTTACTCACTGCTCTCCTCAGCAGTGTATTTCAGTAGATGTGCCTGTTCTGCTCCCCACTCTGTCTCTGGTGAAACCTCTCAACCCTCACACCTCTGGCCCAGATCCCAGTGCTTATATGCATAAATAAATAAACCTTTTAAAAAAAAAGTCTCAGTGCTATCAAGCTATCACCAGCAACTGCAGCAAGAGTTTGATCCCCAGCCAGGGAGTTAGCCCACATGGCTCAGCAGACCTTTCCTATCTCACCTGCTGCTCCCCTCAGCAGTGTATTTCAGTCAGTCTGCCTGTTCTGTTCCCCACTCTTGTCTCTGGTGAATCCTCTCTCTTTCTCTCTCTCTCTCTCTCTCTCTCTCTCTCTCTCTCTCTCTCTCTCTCACACACACACACACACACACACACACACACACAGACCACCCCACCCCCGTATCTCTGGCCTATACCCAGGCTCTTGTATGCATAAATAAATAAATCTTTTTAAATAAATAAATAAATAAATATCTGAGTTAAATATTTGGTATACATACATAGTCTGGTTATTCTTTCAACTCACCAAACTCCTTTTGAGCCCTTCCTATGTACCAAGCACTCAGCTAACCACAGGGGATAATGGTGGCCGCCCTCAAAGCCTCCACTCTAGCAAGGTAACTGCTCCAAATTACCTCTCCAACCTTCCAAAGTCCAACTGTAATCATGTCCCCCACCTGATTCTTCACAGGTTTCCCACAGCAAAACAATAAAGACGCTGCTGTCAATTTTTCCTGCCTTATTTTCCATTCCATCACCCCATTGCCACTCCAGACTTCACTTCTCACTCAAAGAGGAAGCAACAACCTGTGGGGGAAGGGCAGAGTAAAGCTTCTAGAGGAGGATCCCGGGCAGAGGGTCCTTAGCTAGTGGAAAAAAAGGAGTCCAACAGGTAAAGACAGGAGCATCTAGTAAGTTTAAGGAAAAAGAAGGACATGGGCAAAAAAACCCACAGGTGGGAAAAGTGGAGAGATGTATAAAGAACCCATAATAAACATTTCTCTTCTATGTTTTTTTCTCCATTTAGGTTGCAATCTCTAAGTCCCTATTCTGCCAAACACTTCTTACTAAAATATCCTCTAGCAGTAAGGGACATTTCTTAAGTTCTAAAATCATTTTAGGGGCCTCCCTGGTGGCGCAAGGGGTTAAGAAACAACCTATGAAGGTATTCACAGCCACTGCAGCATGCGTTTGAGCCCCAGCCAGGGAGCTACCCACATGGTGCAGCAGACCTCTCCTGTCTTGCCCACTGCTCACCTCAGCAGTGTATTTCAGTAGATCTTCCTGTTCAGCTGCCAACCCTGTCTCTGGTGAATCCTCTCATCCCCACACCTCTGGCCTGTACCCCAGTTCTTACATGCATAAATAAATAAATCGTAAAAAAAAAAAATCATTTTAGTCAAACTCACCGCTGTTTCTACCCCAGACTATACTTTATTTATAAAAACACTTCCCATTTCAGACAGTTCATGGTTTAACACAAACTGAAGGACAAGTGGAAAGGGACTTTCCTTTCCCAATTTTTGTCTATTCCCAACAGATCCCACATGGCAGGAGGGGTCTTAGTTTCCATGAAAAGGTTTTAAAAAGGAGTCTCCTGAATTTATGTGCAAAATCTTGTACACACAAATGTATATAGGAGGAGTAGGCAGTAATTAGACGCTCAAATTAATGACTCCCTTCCCCCATCAGAAAAATACAGAGACCCTAAACATTAAAATGAATCTCAGAGCAAATTAGATAGCATATAAAATAAGCAGAATGTGAACATACAATAAGGTATACAATATACACATCAAAAACACAGCCACTAGCAAATAACACACCAATTTATCCACAAGCTAACTTCCAAAACTTCAAGAGACTATACCCTCATTATTATGTGCACAACGCTGTCTCAATATGAATGCAAGACCAACACTCAATCTAGGTAGTAACTAAGTAAAATTTACCAAAACGTTGTTTTCTTTTTTTTTTTTTTTTTTTTTATAAAGAGGCATGTGTTTTTATTTATTTATTCGTTTGTTTGTTTTTTTTTGTTTATACATGCACTGGGTACAGTCAGAAGCGCCGGAGGGTGAGAGAATTCACCAGAGCCAGAGCGGGGAGCAGAGCAGGCAGAAGGACCGAAGTACACTGCTGAGGGGAGCAGCGGGCGGCAGGAGAGGTCTGCGCACCATGTGGGACCCTCATCCGGTGGCCGGGGAGCAGCCGGGGATCGAACCGGCGCCTCAGAGGCTGCGGGCAGCTTCGCAACCCAGCGCTCAACCGCTGCGCCACCGGGGAGGCCCCCAAAACGTTGTTTTCTACTTTAACCTATTATTCTTCCTCCAAGAATAACTGAGTGAAAATTAGGGGACAGAAAAAAGGGAATAGAAAATAAACAATGTTGAAGTGTGTTCATCAACTGATATTTAGTTAAGCCCCTAAAAATTCTCAAACTTTTAAGGAAAAAAAATTGAGACAAGAAAATCTATTACTATAATTAAAAAACAAAAACAAAGAATACTGCAGTCCAGCTTTCAAACTGAGCAAACAACATCTCAAATAGGTTTTCATAAACCAAGGACCATCCTATAAAAGTAAATTTTCTCTAAAAATGATTGACAGTGTATCCTAGGAATTTTATTTCAAAAAAAATTCTATTTAAAAGCTAGGTCAATGTCTCTTTTTCTCCTGGCTAATCAATTAGAACATGTATCAAATGTTCTTAAATTCATTGTTTGACTATTCCAAACATGTTAAATTTCCCCACTTTGCCTCTGATGTTGCCACTTCACCCCTGATGTTCTCAGGGTCTTTATCCAGACCACTCTTGTGGACTCTTCCCCTACTGTATTTTTTTTTTCTTATCTGTTAGCCTCAACTTCAATGTCTTACAGTCCTTTCCTTCCCTGACAAAGGAAGAAACCTCTGTTCTTTTCTATGTCAAGCAAGGCTCATGCTTATTTTCTTCAAAGTAAATACCACTTATTATTATTTTCTTTCTGCCTGCCTGTCTTCTCATGAAGAACAAAGACAATGTGATGGCAGAAACCATATTGTTCATTAGTTTTTCTCCAAGCCTCATAGAGTTCCTGGTACATAGTAAGTGCTCAATGAATACCTTCTAATTACTTACTTAAAATGAGGTGACTTTTCCACATCCCTTCACAAATAAAAGCCCTATGTAAGAATTTTGTTAGATTTTAACAAGACAAGCTAGTTCTTATTTACCAATACTCCATCCATTCAAACTGCCATGCTCTGAAATTGCAGAGAATCTAGCTTCTTATAGTTCCTCATCCCCAACCTTCAAAGGACCATTATTACATTAATGACTTCTTGCTGAAAGCAGACTGGTCAGAGAGAAAGTAGGGGGTTGCTGGTCATGCTTTGAAAGTAAATGGTAATGTAATGATAAAGGAGTTTGAAATGATCCAGGTTCAAGTGAGATATGTAACCCAGTCTTCTGACTACTATGTGCCTCACAAGAATCCATGATGCATCTACCTTAAAGGTTTATGGTTGTGAACTCCAAAAGAGGCAACAGAGGTTGAGTCTGCAGATGACATGCTTTCAGAGGCCCATTTATAAATTTAGCACAGCTACAATTTTCCCTTTATTTGTGGGATTACCTGACTGATGTCTCTTTCCACTATTAGACCTTTTTTTCTTTACCCTTGAATTCTGAAAAGTACATATCTAAAAGTGCCTGGCAGGTAGCAGGTTCTCAGCAATACTTGCAAAATGAATGAATCAAAGAACTTTGTAAACAAGAAAGATATGTCTAAGTATTAGTATCAGATGTTTGAGAAATTTATTAATGCAACAAATATTTACTGAATGCCTTACCAACATATCAGTTACTATTCTAAAACAATTAGGATGCAATAGTGAGTAGAAAAAAATCACTACATACATAGAGCTTGCATACCAGTTTGGGAAAACAGGCAATAAACACAGTAATTAAATATTATTAAGCATATCTGAATGTGATAAATGACGTGGAAGAAAAAGCAAGATGGAGGGTGAGGGGGAAAATGGACTAGTTAACAACTAGGCAGTCTTATGGGTGCATATGAAAAAGTGAAGAGTCTATTGTGCTTGTAGCCAAAAGACCAAAGCCAAGAGCAGCCCGGGAATATATCTCATACAGCAACATTGCCATCTGACTCCCAATTAACATTCTAAATAAACTGATATAGATAACAGTTTAGAGATACCTTACATTAAAACATAAAAGAGATGAGGGGCTTCCCCTGGTGGAGCAGCGGTTGAGTGCTGGGTTGCAAAGTTGCCTGCAGCCTCTGCAGCACCAGTTCGATCCCCGGCCACCAGCGAGGGTCCCACATGGCTCACAGACCTCTCCTGCCACCCGCTGCTCCCCTCAGCAGTGTGTTTCTTTGTCAGTCTGCCTGTTTTGTTCCCCGTTCTGGCTCTGGTGAGTTCTCTCACCCTCCCGCGCTTCTGACTGTACCCAGTGCTTGTATAAATAAATAAATCTTTAAATTATATATATATATAAAGAGAAATTTAAAAAAAAAAAAACATAAAAGAGATCAGAATGACACCCCAATAGTTACACCCCCACAAACTGATCTAGGCCATTTTTTTCCTTTGATGGTGGTATCAAATACGACAGTATTTTTCTAAACGCATGGTCTCTGGGATATGCCCAGAAACAAACTAAGATCTCAAAGCTCTTTTAATCCAGAAATGCCATAGGTCAGACCTGCCTTTTTGAGACTTCGAACCAGAGCAGTCTCCAGAACCAGACCAGACCAGATGGTATGTTAAGGTATCAGCTAGACCTAGCCCTAAAGAATCTAACACTATGAACTTTCATAAGCTATACAAATAAACCTCATATTGATTTGCAGAAAACCAAAGCATCACTAGAATCTAATGGTCCGTGTAGTTTATGACTATTTTCAAGTTCCTCCTTCATAAAAGCTCATCTATTGTAAACAGCTACGGTGCCTCTGATGTCCTGGACACTTGGGATCAGGGACAAACATTAATATAAAAGTTTTATTTACTTGGGCCCAAAGCACAAAGCCATTTTATATTATACCAAAACTGTATTCTGATTGGTTACTCTAACCCAGAATTTTACAAATTCCTTTCAATGCTGTATCTCCTAGCTTATTCTGTTTAAAGCTGGAAGAGAAAAAATTCAGCTCACTAAAAAGAAGAAATACAAATTATGACTCTAAATATTGAAAAGGGGACTCCCTGGTGGCGCAAGGGGTTAAGCACAGCACTGTGAAGCTATCCGCTGCAGCATGAGTTAGATCCCCAACCAGGGAGCTACCCACATGGCACAGCAGACCTCTCCTGTCTTGCCTGCTGCTCCCCTCAGCAGTGTATTTCAGCCAATCTGCCTGTTCTGTTTCCCACTCTGTCTCTAATGAATCCTCTCAACCCACACACCACTGGCTTACACCCCAGTTCTTGTATGTATAAATAAATAAAATAAATCGTAAAAAAAAAATGGAGCTGCATATATAATACACCCAAAAGGGTGTGTGTGTGTTGGGGAGGGGAATGCTTGGATCCATACCTTGCACATACCATATACAAAAATTAAGAAAAAATGAGCCATAACTTAAATGTTAAATCTAAAATTATAGAACTTCAGGGCCTCCCTGGTGGCGCAAGGAGTTAAGAGGCAACCTATGAAGCTATCCCCAGCCAAGGAGCAACCCACATGGCGCAGCAGACCTCTCCTCTGTTGCCTGCTGCTTCCCTCAGCAGTGTACTTCTGTCAATCTGCCTGTTCTGTTCCCCACTCTGTCTCTGGTGAATTATCTCACCCCCCCCCACACATCTGATCTGTACCCCAGTCCTCGTATGCATAAATTAATCTTTAAAAAAAAAAATATTGAAAAGGTCTGATTCACAGCAGGAGTGATCAGTTTTATGAGTTTCTAAGCAATTTGAAGAAGTGCACAGATATTAAATACACAAAAATAATTAGTAACAGAGGTAATTACAAAAAGCAAAAGAACATTCAGAATCCTGCCTAACTCTCTAAGCCGAAATCTCTACTTTCACAGAGTCTGGAACTGAAAGTAAAATCACCTGTTATGTCCTTTACCCAATTACCCTTCAAAAGAAAAATATTTTTTAACATTAGAATCAAGGATACTCAGTGTCTATACCTTGTTGAGTTCTTCTATTCTTCTGATTAGGTATGGGTTGCTAGATGAATTTTCAAAGTAGACATAATCTGTAATTAAAGGAAGTAAAGAGCTTAATCTTTTCAACAGAATGTACACATTTGTCAATTTATGACTTTCTATATTAGGCACTTCACATTCAAAATGAAGCATGTAATTCACTCACTGGTAAAAAGCTTAGTAATGCAACCTTAATATATTCTCTCATGTGCCTACTATTCACAGACCCTTATTTTCCTGGCATTTGCATTTCATTTCATGTTTTATCAGCTTCTCCTAGACTTTTGTCCCACACGTGTCATTTTCTTCATAAGAAACAAGACCCAACTCTTCTCATTCCTTCACAGTCAGGACTGACTAAGCACGCGTCTTTCATACTGTAACTGCTTCCACATCTTTTCCCTCCAATTTGCCCTGAAGTAGGTTTCTCACATAAAACCATTAACCTAAGACAAATTCTGAGCATCTTGAAAGCATTAGCAGCCCAAAGTGCATGTGCATTCCCAATAGAAACTCAAAAAAAATAAATAAATAAATCAGGTGAGCAGAGCAGGTAACAGGAGGACCCTGACTAACTTTCCCTCAGCTGTATCTAGGAAAAGGAGGTGGGGGGAAAGCCGCAGGGGTACCCTTTCTGAGAGGCCAGCTCTCTGGAGGTGCTATCAGAATCTTTTTTATTCCCTTTCACCAAATTTAATCCAGACCCATTTAGTGTCTTGTTTTAGAGAACTCGCCTGCAGGCTTTCCACAAAAAGGATCAAATTTTTCAAATGTGGCTTTTCCTCTCCTCTAAGAGGCTCACTGGAAACTTCCCACTGTGTGCTTATTGGAGAGGCTGAACCGCATTTTTATTGTCTATCTCCGTGGGCTCTCCTGTCTCTCTCCAGCGAAGTGGCCTCATTTAGCCAGGCCATTCCCACCACCATCCATCAGGAGCTCGGCTAATGAGCAGAGAGGGAAGAGCAAGTCTCACACAAACACGCCACTTATCTGAATTATTATTTTAGCAGGAAAGAGGGAGGAGGGCGTCGTGAGCAGGGAGAAAGTTTGTTTGACCTTATTTCTCTCTTCTGCACAACACCGGGAAGGAAGCAGCCCGCGAGAGCGAACGTCCAGGCAGGACTCAACTCCCCACCTCAGGCTCGGGCGTCCTGGCCCGACGAAGCCCCGTTCTTGGGGGACAGGGCAAGAGACGGAAGGGGGGGGAGCGGGAAAGGAGAGGTGCAGGGCCCTGTCCCCGCAAACAGGCCTGTCCAGCTGTGCTCGGGCTGCGCCCCCATCTCCCCCACCCCCACCACACCCTCCCCTGAAGGGGGGAAGTAGAGAGGGGTGCCTGTCCCCACATTTCCAACCCCCACAGCCCAGAAGCCCCGCGAGCGAAGACCCCCCTCGCAGGGGGCTCGACGGCCCCGACCCCCAAGGGGCTCCTGGAAGGGGGCGTCGGGTAATTTAAACCCAAGTCAAGGCCTGGCCCTCAGGATCCGGGTGGGGTGCCGGTGGGCCCCGGCCCCTGGCGGGCCACGGTGGGGGGAGGGGAGAGTGGCCGGGTGGGGAGCCCCGGCCCCCCCGGCGGGCCCGGCGCCCCCCGCCCTCTGCGCTCTCAGCCCGGGCGCCCGGGGCTCCCAGCGGACAGGGGGGACTCGCCCCGACCCCCCGTTCCCGCAGCCCGCCCCCAGACGGGCCGGGTCGGGCCGAGCCTTCCTACCTCCGACCCGGTACATGTTGGCCGCCATGTCCGCCCGCCCGCCCGCGGAGCCCGAGCCGAGCCCCGCCCGCCGCCGCCTCAGCTCGGCCGCCGCCGCCTCGCCTCGGGGGGAGGGGAGGGAGGAAAGGAGGGGAGGGGGAAGCGCAGGGGAGGGACGCCGAGGGGTGGGGGCAGGTGCCCGCCCCCGGCGCCCGGCTAGCGCGGCGGCGGGTGCCGGCCCTGGGAGGCCGGGGCGCTGCGGGGCCGGCGCGGGCCGGGGGAGGGCGGCGGTTTGGGGGGCCTTGCTGCAAGTGGAGGCGCCTAGGGCAAGGGTCCCGGCCGAGGCCGAGGCCTGCACTCGCACATGCGGACCCGGGGCTCTTAGGGAATTGGGGGGGCAGGGACTCGGCAAGCCCCGTCACCTGCCCGCTCCCCGAAAGGGGTCGTCTTCCCTGCGTCTGTCCCCGGGGAGTCGAGCACGTGAGCGCCTGATTCGATGCAAACACTTGGATGCAAATAAATGCACGCAGCAGGGCGCCCTTCCTCGTGGTGCTGCTTAATGCGGCGGTCTTGGAGCCCTCAGGCCTGGAGGCCAAGAGGACCCCAGGTATTTTCAGCTTCCCCAGGCCAAGACACGGCTGGGGACTAGGTTACCAAAATTGACCCCCTTCCAAGTGCAGTGGCAAGCCTAGCAGAACTGAACCCCTTCCCCTGCACCTGGAAGCCCTGCCTCTGGCCAGGCCGGGTATACAGTGCAGGGGCGCGGAAGGCGGGGCGAGAGGGAGGGGGCCCCCCCGAAGGCTAAGAGACAAAACCTTTGCAGGTGTGGGAACTGGATGCTCCAGTTCACCATCACCACTAACCCCAGCACCCCCACCACCCCGCCAAAGGAGGATAGTGCCAATCAGCTTGTTGTTGATAGACAGTTAACTGGTTATGTGCCTACAGCTTTTAAATTTATTATTTATTTCCCCATGCTAATTCTCCAGACAAACCGTGTTTTCTCAGCCTTCATACCCTGAAAGAAATCAAAAACCAAGGAGAGTTGAGTCTTAGCTGCCTATTCCCCAAATGCACACAACTTTCTTTAGGGAAGCCAATCCACTCCAAACTGCTCCCAGACATGGTTGTATAATAAATATGAAGCTGATACCTTATTACTGTGACTGTTTGGAGTTTCTAGTAATTTATAGCTAGGTTTTATTGACTGGGTTTGGGATCTATGCAGTGATGGAAGGTGTCCCCAGAAAAGACTGTTTTGTCTGGTGATGACATTTGAGATTTGTGATTATCACAAATCATTGAGATGAAAAAAAAAGTTTTCCAAAAAAAGGTTTTCCAGATAAATATGCTAAAGTAAAAAATAAGATATAAAGCATCTCTGCCTGAATTACCTTGATTGACTGTGACTCCAGTTTCCTCATCTATAAAATGGGGACACTTCACAGAGGGAATGAGAATCAGCTGTGATGGTATCCGAATATACTTGGTGAAACACACAACATAGAGTACTATGCAAATAACAGGTGTCTGGGGTTTTTTTAAACTCCAGAAAGTTTCAGATTCCCAAGGGTTTTTAAGTCACCAGCCAAATTGTGTGCCAGTATCACCCCTTCTGACCCAGAGGAGAGAAAAAACAAAAGTGTTTTGTTATCCACATTTCATAGCTATTGTTTATGTGATGATTTTACCCAGTTTAGAGATCCCATCCAAATCGGGTTGTGCAGTATCTGACATCATTCTATTTCTAAGCTGACACAAAGATTGAATATTCACCTGGAGTCACATTAAACTGGCAGCAGTATTGGGTTTATAATTCAGCCCTTTCCTCTAGCCTGGAATTTTTTAAACCAGGAAGCCTTTCTCCCAATGAAAAGGCCACCTGCAAACCATAAACTGCACAAAATTAGATCACAAGCTTGGAGGTGTTTTCCCATTATTTTTTAAATAAATAAGCAATTTCTCACATTCAAAAAAAAATTTTTTTGTATTTTTGATAGTTCCTTATCTGCTGTCTCATTTCACCAGCTTGATGCACCTTACCAGGTGTTTGTGATAACTATATAACCACAATAAAGGTATCAAGAAAAATTTCTCTGTCTATAACCCTTTCTCCCCTTAGAAACAGCCTTCTCTAGGGGCCTCCCTGGTGGCGCAAGGGGCTAAGTCACAGCACTATGAAGCTATCACCAGCTACTGCAGCATGAGTTGGATCCCCCACCAGGGAGGTGACCCACATGGCACAACAGACCTCTCCTGACTCACCCGCTGTTCCCCTTAGCAGGTATTTCAGTAGATCCTCCTGTATCTGCTTCCCATTCTGTCTCTGGTGAATCCTCTCACCCCACACCTCTGGCCTACACCCTGGCTCTTGTATGCATAAATAAATATATAAATTTAAAAAAAAAAAAGAAAGAAAGAAAAGAAACAGCCTTATCTAGAGCCCCCACCCACCCCAGGAAGGCCTCAGAGACTTGCGGGAAAGGAACAAGAGGTAATAATGGCAGCAGAACCTGGGTCTTTTCCTTCCTCTAGAACATTGGCTCGGCATATTGGCTCTGCTAATGTTCCTCTAGAACATTAGCCTCTCCTGCCTCCTGTGTTTCTGGGTTGATATTTTTTTTACATAGTGGGTGCTCAATATCTCAAAGAATGGATACCAAAGAATGATGGACTCAATATAGTTAGAGAACCGGGCCTCCCCGGTGGCGCAGCGGTTGAGCGCTGGGTTGCGAAGCTGCCCCAGCCTCTGCAGCACCAGTTCAATCCCCGGCTGCTCCCCGGCTACCAGAGGAGGGTCCCACATGGCGCACAGACCTCTCCTGCCGCCCGCTGCTCCCCTCAGCAGTGTACTTCGGTCCTTCTGCCTGCTCTGCTCCCCGCTCTGGCTCTGGTGAATTCTCTTACCCTCCCGCGCTTCTGACTGTACCCAGTGCTTGTATAAATAAATAAATAAACAAACAAATAAATAAATAAATCTTTAAAAAAAAAATATATAGTTAGAGAACCAGGTGCAGAACTGAATGCAAGAACTCTGTCTATGAAATGTTTATACTTTTTAATTTCAAAGAGTTAGGCACATAAGGGAATTCAGCCAATGGTTGTAGATTAGAAAATAAATAAATAAATAAAAACCAACCAGACAATTAAGGGTGGATAAGTCTGCACATTCAAAGAAAGCAAAATCACTTCTACCTCCTTAAGCTGAAGAGTTCAAATCACAAGCTTATCATTACCTAGCCAAAACTTCAATCCTAGCTTGTCTGTTTAGCTATAAGATCTTAAATAAGTTATTTACCCCTCTGAATTTCAATTTTTACAAAATATGACTGGTGATTAACATGTGTAGCATAACTTGTGCTAAAAATGAAGTGCATAAAGTGTTTGGCACATGTTAAGAGTTTCATACTCATTAGGTCCCTTCTCTCTATTCTACTCATCCTCATTACTAAGGAAGAGGTGTCTCTTAGACCATGCCAGAAATCCCAGGGCATAGCCCACCCTCCCAAGGGGTAATATTTGCTAGCATAGCTGTTGTGATTTAGAGAATCAGGATAAGGAATTGGCAAAAGAACACGATCCCTGTGTCAGCCTCCTGCACCTCACCACTTAGTTGAAGATACGGGGATGCTACAAGAAAGCTATAGATGAGACAGAGAGTTGGGTTTTGTATTAAATTCAGGATAGGATTTTGATATATATAAAAGATGGAGTTGGCCACAAAGTCTGTGATTCTGTGATATTGAACTCAGAAAAGACCCTGGGGGTCCAGAATGTAATTAATCTAAAACCAGATGCCAGACTTTGGATGAGGGACTATATTTTGTGTTGTATGATTTGTTTCTTTTTCTTTTCTTTTGTTAATTTATTTTGTTATTTAGTAAAATTATTGTGGGAAAAGCCCAGCTGGTATCAGTGGTTCTAAGGAAATCCAGAGTTATAAAAGTAGATAACTGTATTCCAGAAGAGAGGTAGCCATGTGACAAGAAAGCAAGGGGGAGCCCCCAAGGGAAAGGAAAGAAGAATCAGGAATTTCCTAGTTTCTCCAATCATGGAGGAGTTTCTCCTTCCTTCAATCCCCTGTGCTAAACACCTGATACTCAGAACCATTCTCAGAAAGCTCTGGTTTTCAGAAGTGTGTGTTTTGGGATCCAAGGTTTTCTCCTGTTCCCAAAGGAGAGCTAGCTCAGCCATTTGGTTGCTTCTCCAACTAGGTTTCTTCTCTAGTGACAATATTTTCTTTAGGAAGAGGAAAGGAAATGGAAGTCACAACGGGGACAGGGATGAACCCCTGGAAAGGTAACCTAATTGGGCCTTAGTGGTTCTCCTTTTAGCCTATGGATTTAAATTATACTGTGGGCATTGTAAGGTGTGGGGTGAGGAAAAGGAGTTCTAAGGGGCAAAGAGAAGTTCTGAAATGATCTAACCTGAAGTGTTTTTAGGAATGATTCAGATTCCAGGAGAGAGTAGATTGGAGAGAATTGACAGTCCAGGCCAGTAGGTCAATTGGGAGGTTGATACTAAGGGATGATGGTCATGGTGAGCAATGGGGTGAGGTAGGTCGGTTTAAGGGAGAATTAGAGAGATAAGAATTGTAGCATCTAGGGATTTTACTTTGGGGATGCATGGAGTAAAAGGATAGCACCAAGTTATGCACAACTAGTTGGAAAGATGTGATTTAGGGAGTAGAAAATACCAGAGGAAAAGAAAATACACAGGGGAAGAGGAAGAAGGAGAGTCGACAGGCTTGGTGTTGGATGGGTTGTACTGTTTGAAGTGCCTTCAGAAACACCTAGGAAGATGTTTCCTCTTCAGAAAAAAGGCAGGTGAACAGGCCTAGAGCTTATGAGACAAATCTGGGCTGGAAATATCCTCTCCAGTGTTCCTATCAGCACAGAGCCAGTGTTGTCTAAGGAGTAAGCCAAACCCTGGCCCCAGGGGGAGAAGCAGGTTCCCTGAGTCCTTCAGCTTGGGCAAAACAGGTTTAGCAAGTCTTGGTTCAGATCAGAGTTCAGGTCCAAATGTGCAAACAGGCAAGACAGAGAACCACAGGTTAGTGACCAAGACAGACTGTGA